CATTGAATCCAGAAGTCACAGTGGGGTTCAGATATCCGTCACCAGTCTGTCATTCTTAGTAGTAATACATCTGTTCTTTTCCTGGTCTTCATGATGTCCTTTAGGTGACTCCTAAAGGCATTTATTTAGTTGTACTGGTTGTATTTGAGTGAATCAGAGGGGATGGGGGGTCGAATACAAATAGTGAACATAAATATGAGTTCTGTTTTAAAAACCTTTGAAAAACCATCTAGTATGTTTTTTCTCTCCGTATTGGTCTGCCTCACAAAATCCCCCATAATGCCCTACATTTGTTCAGCTGTAACGCGATGAAATGTGGAAAGTTTGAAGTCCGTGAACGCTTTTGCAAGGCATAGTATATAAAATCTGTTTATTACAGTTAATTTTTTTTAATATGTTGTCAAAGGATTTATATCCCCCATTCTGAGCCAATTTTTTTTTTCATTAGTTGAGGGTTTTCAAGGATAAATCCAAGGTTTGAGGCTCTTAAGGAACATCAGTTTTGATGTCTTTAGTTGAGGTCATAGCACAAGGGCCGAGAATTGCAAATGCTTTCTTTTGTGTGTATGTGTGTGTGTGTGTGTGTGTGTGTGTGTGCGCGCGCGCAAAATGAAAAAAAAAAAAAAGAAAGAAAGAAAAGCAGCAGCTCTGTTGTGTGAGAAGCAGAGATTTCTCTCCAGGGCTTGTCCACTAGAGTCAGCGTCCTGTGGGGTTGACAGCCAAGGCCCTGGTGACACACGCTTATGCCCATAAACAGGGATTTGGTCCTCTGGAGAAAATAACCTTGATAATTACTGGGTGCATATGGACCTGCCCACAGTGAGAGGGGGGAGGAGGGCTGACTGAGAAGCTAAGGAGAGAGAGAGAGAGAGAGAGAGAGAGCCACATCCGCTGGTGCATTCCTGCATGCTGTGTCATAGTGGTGCCGAGTTTCCCTTCAGTTTGCACGGAGATTTCCACAAGGCGGAGAGCGCGCAGAGGCACTGATGCAGCGCCTGAGGCCGTGGACTCCTGCATTTAAAGTTTAACAAGGCACAAGTCATTCGTATGCTCTCCACAGAAACAGAACGAGCGTACGTAAGAGAGCTGGCAGACGATGGTGAAAAACTGGTGCCGTATGGAGGGTGGGATACATGGACTGGTGACCTAACTGTGGAGACACTTATATACTTAGACTGTCCTCTCCTAGTCTCTTTCGCTTGCATCATGTGGTGGAACAGATTTGGCACCGGTGCAGCAGCCAGAGCTGCATGTCTGTTTCTGGCTGGCCGCCCGTCTGCTTGCCTGTCATTCTGCTGGTTAAAGAGGCCTTGTTGAACCGCTGCGCCGTGCCCGCCTGCTGCAGGGCCATTCATGCCTGTGAGGCCAGAAACAGCCAAGTCTTGTCATCCGGCGCTAGCTAGCTCACACCAATTGACTCCTCCAGGGGCAGTTTGCTTGCTAAGCACACCGACTCAAAGCAACTCAATAATCCATTTTTTTTTTTTTAAAGTTTCGATTACATTTCGGAGGACGCTCACGGCCCACACCCTCCGTCCCGACACGTGTGCGTCTCCCGGATTGAGCGCCCGGCGCGATAGACTGATCCTTTCCCAGAGGAGTTGTATAACACCGGCACAAAACAAAGCAGATCCCCCGAGCTGCGTCGAAGGCTGCAGATTTCAGCTACAGTTTGTCACTCAGATAGAGTTCTCCCTCTGCTTGTCTGGTTAATGGCAGCTCATTCTGTCACAGTTGAACTGAGCCTCCGTGAACTGTTCTGTGTCCTTTTCTCAGTCCCTTTGTGACACACATCACGAGGACAGGCACAAGGGCCGTGGCTTCATTTTGCGCTCCCCTACTTTTACCTCCTCCTCTCATGCTCTCATTCCCAACTCCTCCATCTTCCCTTCTTGTCCTTCCCTTTCTGTCTTGGCCTTCTGTCCCCCTCCCTCGCTCCTCGCTTCGGCGTCTGCATTCCTAACATCCTCCTGCTATGATTAGCTATAGTGTTTGTTTCCCCCCCGCCCCTCAGCCAGTGTAATTTCTAGATCCTCCTGTGTCCTTGGAAAGCTCTTCTAATAAGCTCAGACACACTGATGTCTCCATGCACCATGGGCCTTATTCTCCAGCGTCATCGAGCATGTAAACAAAGGCGGACAAAAGAAAAAAAAAAAAAAAAGGAAAGGAAAAAACCACATGCGGTGGCTCTTCCTAGCGTGCTAATAGACCTGGCCTACCAACCCCACCGAGGGCAGCACCAACAACACTAGATTGCGAACGGTGACCTTCCGCGTGCCAATCACAACAAATCTGCTTCCTGATTCGAATATGGGGAGGAAAACGGTGTAAATTGAAAGCAGAAATCCCCCTGGTGCGAGGCGAGATGAGCCTCGGAATAAATTATTCAGATGGCAGTCTTTCCCTCTCTCTCTCTCCCTCTTTCTCTCTCTCTTGAATGATTCTCGCCTTCTGCTACATTTAATGGCATCTGCGATGACGCCCATTGGAGGTTAATCCAGATGCGAGACGTTTGTGTTTGCGTGCTCACATTTTGCGCTCGCGGCCCGCTCGCCCCTCTTCTCATGCATCCCGTCGTGTCGTGTGATGGGGAAACGGAGCCGCAACAGGGGAATTTATCTCTTCTCCAGAGAGGCTTGTAAATAAACAAGTAGTGAATCAATGGCTCCATTTGTTTTTTTTTTTCTTTCTTATAATTCTGCCTTTTCTCTTTAGGCGGTGTGACAGCATTTTTTTTTTATTTTTTTATTTTTCTGAGGCGCTGTAGATCTTAGCAGCCGTATTTTCTCTCGGTGAGAGTGAAAAAACATGCCTGGCTGGCTTCGTGTTTCATTACAGAGGATCAGTAAATTACCGTGTATGTAAGTGTGTGTGTGTGTGTGTGTGTGTGTGTGTGTGTGTGTGTGTGCGTGCGTGTGTGTGTTTTCTCTTTTCTTTTATATCACCCACTGCAGCTCATTTAGCACCATGATGGAGCCTTTGTATGAATGGGGAAATAATACCAGCATTGGAAATTGTGCTTTAGAACTTCTCAGTCAAACAAAGACACAGTAGAAATTACTTGGCTCAGATGAATACAAGAACACACAGTCGATCCTGTGGTTAATGCATTTCAGTCTTGGTGAGCATTATTGATTTACTGCAGAAGGATGACCCTTCCTTAGATAAGTGCCTACAATATTTTACTGTTTGGAATATTTTTCTCAAGCATGTATTCATTATTTTTAAACTGAGCAGAAGCTTTTTTTTTTTTTTATAAGCCATTTTCCTTAGAGGCCCAACAGACCATCGTGTTCACCTTGTTTTTGCCATAAACATGTGAATTCTTTGAGTTTTGTTTCTTATTTGTCCTCGTTTTTGTTTCTATTTTAATCCTCTGAGCTTCACGTCTGTTGCCTTTAGTGGCAATAATTAGCTGGTTCCAGAAAATATAAAGGGTGTTACCTGTATTAGTTAGGGTTCAGTGACTGACACCAGCAGTGAATAATGATGTGAGAGGAGTGTTTCTGTTTCTTCACACATAAAGGTAGCCTCCCAGTGTGTAAACCCTGATTAGGAGCATCCTGAGTCATTCAGCTAATGTCGCTTTCAGTTATATTTGTGGCGCGCCATAGGTGCCACGATGCAATGAAATAAATCAACATACGCTTGTTGTATGCAACGTAGCTAAAATTAAACCACAAATAAATAAATCTTATTATCTGTAATTAGATTATCGGAATAATTTATTCCTACACAAAGACATTTTTACCCATGAATCAGGAATAAAATATATTTATATATATATTTTCTTACCTTTTTCTCATAATTTTTCTGATTAAATCTAATTGACAAAGTGTATATCATCTCAAAATGTTATTGCTCAGTCATTTCCAATAAAAATCACAGTAAAAATTAAGCCACAGTAAAAAGAAGGATGTGCCTAAAACAGAATAATCTCAGCTCTACTATTACTTCTTTATTTATTTCTTTTGTTTTATTGGCTCTTAAGCTTCAGTGCACCATGAAATGATGTATACTGGGAATGTGCCTCCTCACATTGACCTTAATGTCTGATCAGTTTCAAGTGAAGTCATCTTCAGACCAATTATATATCGCTATTGCTAATATGATAATGACAAGACTGAAAATTAGAATGCAAAGGGAAAGAAAACAATTTGTTTTGTTAAAAGTATCCGTTTTTTTATAATCTGGCGAGTACTACTTCTCTCAGGCTTGAGGGTCAAGTAATGATTTATCTGTTCATCAAACTGTGGCAGTCTTCAACTTCCAAGCCTCCCACTACACAGCGTCATACCGACTAGAGGTTTGCCATCCTTTCTTTCTCCCTACTCAAGCACCGTCCTCTGTTCCCATAACCAAGTGTGAAATTGCAGCATCAGATTGTATTTAGTTAATTACACTCACATGACTAATTTAATTTGATTCAGATATGGGGAAAATCGTGGATACGCTTTTAGCTTGCAAACTGGTGTTAATAGTAATTAAATGTTGGGTAATGTTTAGTTTTAATTCGTTTTTTTTTTTTTTTTTTTTCCATCTGTTCACACGCTCAAAAACTGTGTCATGAAGTTTAAAACATATAGGCTTAGGTGAGCTAAGGATGCAGCTCTGTGAAGTATGCAGTGGTGTGTTAATGGGTCCCGTAAGAAAATCTACACATCCGTGTTACAAAATAGCCAGAAGCAAAAGAAAAGAATAGTCGCTCCTTGATTAGAGCCTGGAGAGTTCAAAGACGGCTGCTTCTGCAAGGAATCGTCTCGTGTTTATCGTTTAGGTATTTTATGTTCAGCACCTGACAGAACTGTGGATACATACTCTCTTTAGCTCCCCGGTTCTCTGCCTCCAATTTGTCAGATGAACAGCAGGGTGCTGCTGTATTATCACATCCTAATAAATGACACCAGCTATCCCATGTATTCCTGTTACTTAAAAACCACATTTTGCATCGCAACACTCGCTAACCAAATTTGTTGCATTGTGTTTTGTTTTGGTTTCAGACTCGCTCTGTGATTGATGAAGTTTAAGAAGCAGATTTGGCCTAACAGCAAACACAGGAGCCTCCTCATTCGAATCGGTAAGACTCCTGATTCGCCCCTTCCATCTTTCTCCGAGTGCCTCAGTGTGAGCTGTGATGTCGATGTGACCGCTTGGTCTCAAATGCAAGATGAGAAGCAGCAGTTCCAATTTAGGCTTTTGTTGTGTCACGCTTGCCTCTTTAAACAAGCAGTAGGTTTTTTCCTGGGAAAACATTGTTCACATTGTTCAGGTCTTACAGTAAAGCAGAGGAGAGTGTGAAAACAGGCTTTCTGATGAGCAAAAGAACATAAAGAGTTTTATCTGAATATCCAGTCATTTGCAAAGAAAAGCATTTGTTTCTGCACCAACCATTGTGCAACCAATGACAATTTTCTTGATATTATACTGCTGAAATAGACAACTTACACCTGTCACTTGGACAATTTCAGTTTCTGAGAATAGCAGACAGCTCTTACTGCTGATGTGTTTTTTTGCGGCTTATGTCTATAGAAATACCCCAATCTTATGCAGTGACTTGCACAAACATTGATTCCCCTTAAGCTACTTCACTGTTTGTCACATTACAACCACAAACTTCTGTCCATTTAATGGGCATTTTGTGTGACAACATTAACACAAAGCAGTGCTTAATTGTGATTGGTGTTTTTTGCTTGAATAAAATCTAGTGCCTTGCTAGTACATCTAGCACGCTTGTGTGTTGATTGGTCTCAGGATAATTACAGCTCTGTAATGACCTCAGAGGTTTTTTAGAGAACAGTTGTGAACAAACATTATGAGTCAGACAGATCGGGGAGGTTTAAAGCAGGGTTGGGTTGTAAAACAAGCTTTGAACGATACACTAACTTATTATTGAAATATCAGTGTGCGCAACATCACAGCTTCTATGGATCGCATTGGTGCAATCGAATTTCAGATGGAAAAGATTGAAACTCTGCTTTCTAATAATCTATTTGGTCACCTAGGCAGACTCTTGCTGTCCTTTTTGCAGACAGCTGATATAGATCCTCCTGATCCTAATCAGAAGGCTCAGGGTGAGTGATGGAGACATTGTGATGGCAGAAAAGAATGAGACTACTGAGGAAAATGAGGGTCACTGATGCAAAATTCAACATTCTTATACAATTTTTAGCTTTGTCTAAAATTGCACAACTGCAAGCTGACCTAGACTTACCAAGTCATCTACCTAAGCTGGCAGTAGAGGAGAGGTTTAATCAGAGAAACAACCAAGAGGTTCGTGGCAGCTCTGGAGAAGCTGCAGAGATCAACACCTCAGGTTGGAGAACAGAGGAGCTGATATGTGCAATGCACAAATTCTCCTTATATAAAAGTAGAAATATTGCTGAAGGAAAGCTTTTCAGTTTGCACCAAACAATGTAGGGCACACGGCAAACTTGTGGATGGAAAGTTTTTGTTCAGACAAGACCTAAACTGAACGTCTTGACTTGCTGGGAAGCGGAATGAAGCTAAATACGAGGTTCTCTAGTAAGAAAACCTTTTAAGTTCATCGTCCAGCAGCACATAAACTCTAATCAAATCAATCAGAGCTGCAGTAAAATGGCTTGAATTAAAGTGTGCATTAGAATGGCCTGGTCAAAGTGAAGAAGTACACCAAGAATCTGTGGCATGACTTGAACATTGGTGTTCACAGAGTATCACCCCAATTTGACTGCTTTTATTCTATTTTGCAAAGAAAAAAAAATGGAAGATGTGATTGCAGCAAAAGGTGGTTGCAAGTACTCGCTAACAGGGGCTGAGTAAAAATTGACTTCACACCTTTCGCATGCAAATTCGAAAACCACATGTTATTTTTTCTTTCCGCTTCACAAGCATGCACTGATTTGTAGTGGTGTGTCACATAAAATGCTAATAAAACACCTTGAGGTTTGTGGTTTTAACATTACCAAATGCAAAAAAAAAAGAGATTCAAAGGATATATGAATACTTTTGCACCGTAAGCTGCAATGAGCCGAGCAGCGCTGAGCCAATGTGTACTTGGCACGTATTTCCATCGATCTGCCTTCGTCAACAATATTATTTGAAAGAAGAACAAATTTTCATTTTGATTTCACCAGCAAGCAATATTTGCTTCGTGCTCCACAATCTGCAGGATCAATTTCATGCAAAAACATGCATGAATATTGTGTTCAATTAGCCTTTGAACAGCATGAGTGTTATGCATTTGCCTATCCCTTGGACTCCATAAATTCTAAGTGTCTATTTAAACCCATGGCAGTCATCATCGCAGTGTCGAAAACCTTTGACCACCATGATGGATGATGTAATTGGGTTGAATGAGGCTGCAAGGAAACAACAGACAGCAGACCAAAGGATCCCATATTATTGCTCAGACCCGTTAAAAGAAAAGGAGATCTAATCTCGTCGCCTTTGTCGGGGATGTTGTGCAAAATGTCGACGGTGTAGTTTGTGTACATGTGAAACGGCATCAGAGCGCTGGAAGGTGAATAATTTTTGGTGGCATCTGCACATTTTGCAGTATGCTAATGAGCAAAGCTGCAAAAGCCAGATTGCCAGGAGAGAGAAGGGGAGATGGAGAGGAAAGAAAAACAGGGAGGGAGCCGCGTGGAGGAGAGAGAAACAGACGGAGGCTGGTGTAAATTATGGATGCAACCTGCGATTTCCAAGAGGGAAAGAAAGGCAGAGAGAAACCTCCAGTCATGCATATCAGATTATGCATTTACCACATTTTCTTATCATGGTCCATGAGCAAAACTCGAATGCAATCTGGGCTCTTTGTGAATGCGTGCGTGTCGGTGTATGAGACAGAGAGGGAGAGCACTTACATATTCATCCATGTCAAGTTTCGTGGAGTTGTGTTGTGCCGTCAAGCGTTCTCTAAACTTCGTACAATGTGTTCACTTTTATCACTCTTAGACTGTCGTTTTTTTAAATATATATATACTTAATATCTGTGTAAGATTTATGCATCTTACAATAGAGATGCACAAATCAACCAACAAGAGATCAGCATTGGTTCTTGATTGGTCAAAAACAGAAAAATCAGATTTTTTTCCCCCTCCTTTTCATTAAGTACATCTAACTGAAAACTAGTTTTCGGTCATATGGGGACATAAACTCACATAACTCTCTTGATTTCTTAATTTTATTAAGACATTTTTGCTCTTTTATGGTGCTATCACTCTTTGGAAAACAGAGGAATTGGTCAGAATTGGGGAAACTCAGAAATCGACCCGATCGGTGCATTTCTACTCCATTTCATTCACAGAGAAGCAAATCCATTCTGCTCCAGGCTGTTTCACTTAGTCTGTGTTCTCAAATCACAGAGGGTACGCCTGACATTTTTAATGACACAAAAAGCTGAGTCGTGCGTTGTTTAAAAAAAACAAAAAAAACAAAAAAAGAAACAAACTCGAATCTCATTATGTGACTTGCTGGGGCATTTTAGTTAAGTGAAGTTAAGTAAAAGTGAGCATTTGTTCAGCGCTGCCACATCCCAGCCGTGTGCGCCAGTCCCCTGAGCATGGTATGTGTGTTTGTGTGAATAATGGATCCATTCTTGAGTCGTGTCTGTGACTTGGGCCTGAGCAGTGGTGTGGTTTCCCCCACCAGAGGTTGGAGGTGCAGGGACGGGAGGGGCTGCTGGTCTGGAAATAGCTCTGCCTGAGCTGAGAGCACCTTAGGTGGGCCTCTGTCTCAGCTTCGTCTCCCTTCGACGCACTTGCACGACAAAAGTACAATTCTGCTCGCGAGCGCTCCGCACATTATGAGCACGTTTTCCCTACTGTGGCTTAACAGAACTCCAGTCAGCTTTGCTGTCTCTGTGATCTCCTCAAACATGACGGGAGGCTTCTAAAAATGCCGCGGCTTCTAAGAACTGAACAAGAGTCATATTGCACTTTAAAGCCAGACAGAAAATATGAAGCTGCCTTGGATCTCGCTGTCATGTAAATGTGTGTTAATGTGCAAAGTAGGTCATTTATGTGGGGCAGGGACAGCCGCGTTGTACTCGTCTTCAACGGAAAATAGTTTGCACGCAGTCGCATAGCAGGATTTGGCAAACGCAGCGAGGGATTTATGTTTACCTCCCCCCATTTTTGTTTATGTGTCACGCTAAAACATCAACGTAGAAGGGGACTAAGAGGGGACATGGGCGGGGAGTCGAGGGGGCACTGAAGGTGAAAATCGCTGTGGTCAGTCCAGGGACAGCATCAGTAACCACAACCAGAGATAGAAGCAGAAAAATCTGACTAAATCAGATTACCAAACAAAGAGTAAAGAGGATTAATTCTGATCTGTCTCTCTGCCTCCCCACCTCCCCCCAATCTGCAATCTATAAAATCCTCTCAGACAATTTTCTGATTTACTTTGTGTTTCTTTTCCTTTGCATGTTTCTGAAGGTGAAACTCTTTCAGCTTGCTAGTAAAACTTGCTCTTTTGTTTTGACTAAAGACATCTAGAAATCTGGACCAGAAACAAATCCAACAAAAAAGCCAAATAATCTTCTTAAGTCATGAACCGAGGAATTGACTGATGGCTGTAATCTGACATTTTTCAGCCTGATCTGGACTAACTGGAGAGAGGCCAGTCAGAAACTCAACATTCCTGATCAGTAAAGACCAGCAAATTCAGCATAGCTAAACACTAGCAGCAGCAGCAGCAGCAGCACTCCTCATTGTTGTAGTTGTGACTGCAGGTGGACTCTAGGTTAGACATTTGGAAATGTTGGGAGCTTCTTGAGAGAGGAAAGGTTTTCTAGGTAATACAGATGGAAGCTGCTGTTCTGACACGCCTTGCCACTCTCATCTTAAATAGAAGATGCTAAAGACTGTTTAAAATGTCAGATGTGCAACTCTGCTGGTTTTAATTTTAACATAAATTATCTACAGAAGGGAGGTTAGTACACAGTATTTTAATTAGGGCTGTACAACGCCCAGGAAAATGTGTAATTGCAATCCTGTATCACAATTTTGTAAATGTTGATTAAGATTAACCCATATTGTTGTGGCTCTTATGTTTTTTGTGTGTGTTCGTCACAATGTCCTGCATCTCTTTATTATC